CCCAGGTAAGGGGGGGACACGAGTCCAGGGGGCCAGTGGGCTTGGGGACCTGGCCGGCGGTGTGGGGGCCACTGGCTTCTCTCCAGGCCGATGGTGCCTCTCTCTCCCCAAGTAGGGTCCAGGTGAGTGGACCCCCTGGGGTTCCTGGAGTCGCTGTTCCAGCTCTTGTGGGCGGGGTGTCTCTGTGCGCAGCCGTCGCTGCATCTGGTGAGTGCAGAAAGCTGGGGCTTAGCAGGGTGGGGTGGGAGGGGGGTGCCTGCCCCTCCTCTCCCGCCAGCCCGCCCCACTGCTGGCCGCACCCTCTGCCTGCCCACACATGCTGTGCCTTCTAATCCCACTGATCCGGCTGGAATGTGGGTGGGGGCGGCCGGGCCCAAGGGTGGGCAGGCCAGCTCTGGAAAGAGGGTTACTGGGGGTCCTGACCACACTCTGGTCCTCTTGTTCCTTGTAGGCTTCCCGGGTTAGACACATGCTGGGGAGACACCCATGAGTACCGCCTCTGCCATTTGCCGGTAAGTTCTGTCCGCCTCCGGGGCCCTCGGGTGCGCCTTGAAGACTTCCTGCTTCCCCACTCGTGCCCCCCAAATACACCTGCCACCCTGCCAGGCTCTCTGGGCTCCCCTGGGGCTCTCCCAGCCTCGGACCTACCCATCTTTGTCCTCAGGACTGTCCCCCAGGGGCCATTCCATTCCGAGACCTCCAGTGTGCCCTCTACAATGGCCACCCTGTCCTAGGCACCCAGACGACTTACCAGTGGGTGCCCTTCTACGGTGGTGAGTAGCCTTGCCTCCTGTTGCTCCACAGGAGGCAGGGAGGAGGGGCTGCTGAGAAAGAAAGACGACCGGAGGATTGCAAGAGAACATCAGCACTGGGGCTTTGAAGGATGCATAGGAGTTGAAGTGGAGGGGAAAGCAGCACAGGGAGGCAGGGTTTGTTCTGCACGGGGTTGAACACAGCCTGAGGCTTTGCGTGGAGCCGTATCCAGAGGCCAACAGTTCTCAAACTTATCCCGGTGGCGGCAGGAATTGTTGCTGCATTTAGCTGAAAATAGCAAGTTATGTAACTGTGTGCCCGGGGCAGCGTGCCTCCGCATTTAAGGGAAACAGCTTTAGACACCATAGTGGAAGCAGATACAGATAAGAAAAGCTGACAATGGAGACGATTCCATCGGTCAGCCTCGTGGGTGTTTTGGTTTTTTTGTGTGTTTTTCCCCCCTAAGAATTAGAGGAAATTTGCCGTGATCCCCCCCCCCCCAGAGGCCCTCCAAGGCCAGCTTGGGCTCTGTGCCAGGCAGGGTCTGCCAGCCAGGCTCAGAGAAGTGGGAGCCAGGAGGAGCACGGATCCCTGCGGCTGTGAGCTTGAGCCTGCGACCAGACTGTCCACTGTGCCCCCCTGCCAGGCAGCCAGGAAACTGAGTCCGGGGGAGGGCCAGTGACACACCCAGCTGCTCCGCATTCAGTCAGTACTGAATACTTCTTTTTTAAAATTCTTTTTCTCCCAATGTTTATTTATTTTTGAGAGAGAGAGAGAGGAAGGGGCAGAGAGAGAGGGGGACAGAGGATTCAAAGCCAGCTCTGTGCCCACCGCAGAGAGCCTGGTGCAGGGCCCGAACTCACAAACTGTGAGATCAA